GTAGATTTGGAATATTATTTGTAGTTTTCCATTTGGCTAATTTTAATAAAGATAAAGGCAAAACCTCACCTTAAAAAAAAAAAAAAAAAAAAAAAAAAAAATATCCAGCATGTTGATAATATAAGCAAGCTAATTTTTTACTAATTGTCATACAAGTAAAATCTAATATATCTAAAGGATCTTGTATCAATTCTGCTCAAATTTTATTTTGTCTTAAATAATTTTTTATATAAAAAAAAGTTTGCTCAATCTATATAAAATAAGAAATTATTAAATTATTAACTAAAATTAAAATATATATTATAAATTGCTTACAGAATTAAAGTCTAGTAAATAAGCAGGTAAAAATTATAATCAAATTCCTTTTTCATTACAAATATCTTTCAAATATTGATTTCTATATATACTCACATTATCTAAGACTAATACACTATATTGTTCAGAAAATGTATTTATCTTTGGTAACTATATTAAAAAATATATATATTTAATTAATTATTATTGTTATATGAGTAATGGAAAGAGAAAACCTATAAATTATTTTACTTATTATCATTGCAGTGATCATTATATGCAGTACTGCAGTACTGTACTGCATATCTGATATGATAATCATTGTGATGATAATAAGTTTTCTTTTTCTGTTACTCATATATATAGTATATATCAATATTAAATAAATTTTACTTACTAATACATGCTCAATAAAATTTTCATAATTGTTAGTATTCATAGAACTCTCTTGAATACTGTATGCTAGAAGACCATCAATACACAATGCACCTTCAATGGTAAATTGCTTTTCTCAAACAAAAAATGTATATTTTCGAGCATGTATTCTAGAAAAACTCCAACCATAACGATGTAATAGTGTTCTTCTATCAAAAGCTGTTTCATCTGAAAAAACTAACTGATATGGTGCATATTGAGACATTTTTAAAATAAAATTATTTCTATCTTCTTTACTCCTTTCTTTTGCAAGTTTAGAAATCTAAGTGTAATTAAGTTTAAATATAAATTTATAAATATTATGATACTATTACAATATACAATATATACTTGTTTATTTGTATATCCAAGCTGATGTAGAACTCTCCAAATTGTTGTCAAACTAATTGTATATCCTAACCAAAGTTCTATCTCTGATTGTAGTTCATACAAATACCAATCAGATTTTTCGTTCATCAAAGTTTTAAAATATTTTATGTCATCCAAATTTAATAAATGCAGTTTTCTTAGAAGTGTTGGAAGCTTTTCAACACACCCATATCTTCGAAAATGTTTGATAATTCAACTTACGGAAGACCTGCTGACATTTAGATGCCTGGCAATTACTCGAACTGCCAAGCCTTCCAAATATTTTTCAACAATTGTCCAACGAATATGCTTTGAAAATATTTTTTTTAAAGTTCTCGAAATACTATAGTACTAGAATTTCGCATTTAAAACTAAAAATTCCTTACGATATTTAATTTTCAATTTTATATATAAACATATATTTACTTATTCAAGAGTTAAATATTCTATTTAAAAGTTACAATAATACCAGCTAAAGTTTCAATACTTTATCAATTATATATCAATCCCGTGCTAGTAAAAATTATACGAAAATTACTGCTATTATAATATTGTATACAAATTCATTAATAGTCATCTTTTAAATTTTAAGTATTAATAGCATTTATAATATTTGAAAATTTCTAAACTTAATAATAAAATTTATCTTAGCAAATAAAATTACGCACCAATTTCCTTTACGTAGTTACCTAAAAAATATTATTTATTTCGTTAATAAAACGAAATGATATGAATTACTCATTCGACTTCAAAACTAAGTCTATTGTATATAGTGCTTCCTTAATAGTAAAGGAATATTAAACGGATAAACTCATTCACCAGGAAATTCACCTATAATGCCATGTAATCTACCCACCCACCAATTATTAGGCCACTCTCCTCTTTCAAGTACTTCAATTAAATCGCCTGCCTTAAAACTCAAATCATTTTCTTATTTACCCATATAATCAAACAACAGTTGTTTTAACATTTCCTTTTCCTACTCTGTTTCTTCGATATACTGTAATATAAAACCAGAAGCCACTAATGCACTAACAAATACTACACTACTACTTGGTGTTATATTTCCCAAAATATCGTACATCGAGATTGTACCCGGTTAAAATTTAAGCTCCAGGTTACTCACCGTTTAAAATATCATTACCGGGTCACGTCAAATAACCCAGGTGATCCGGTTGACTTGGTTGACCCGGATAGCAGTAGGTTGACCTGGTTAACGGATCTTATATGGGTTACTCGGGTGACTCTTATACGGATACTATCTCTAATTTAAGGCTGTTGATGGCCAGAAATTGATTCCAACCATTGCGACATATGAATTGTAATATTACGACATACTGTATAAGGTTGCAATATTACAAGCTGTTAAAAACAATTATGGTGCAGAACCTCTAGATAGGGTTGTGAAATTACCGTAATTTTACGTAATTTTGTGTAATTTTTCGTAAGATTCGGTAAATTGGATTTACATGG